CATCACAGGAGACCAACCTGAGCTGAGTGCTGACTGGTCTTTACACCCTGTAACACGTCCAGCTGGCTCTGCATCCTGAGGCACGGAACTCCATTTTGAACATGGGTTTCCTTTTCCTTTCTGGAGTCTCTCATTTTCTCTATTGTGTTCACTTAGAGGGGGAAAAGACCTCATAAGTGTCATTTCACATTCGAAGCAATTTGCTATAGGCAACTACACCATTACTTTGTACAAATAAATTTACATAAATCATTAGTGGAATGTTTTATCTTGGCAACACTATTTGGTTCCCAGAGCACAAATTAAATGCATGCTTAAAGCAGAATATTTTAAAGTTATTCTTATATTGTTTATAAGACAGGATTAGAAATTTCCATCTAATTTTTCTTTCATAATGGAATTCCTTTAGCTTTCTTTGTGTATTTATAAACCACATGTGTAATTTTCTGGGGGCTTTCTCAAAGCGAGCAAGCCAGTAGATGACTAGGCCGTATTTGGCTCATTTTTCAGCTACACTTCCCTTTGATTCTAGGGATTTCGGTTGTGAACTCTGATTAGGAAGGCCAGGAACCAGGGAAATTACAATATCCAGTCTTGTGAGTAGATAGCTTTTTGTTTGATATTATTCTGCATATTCTGTAAGCTAACTGGTTGGTTGGCTTTTTTTTTTTTTTTTCTGAATAAACAGATTTGTAAATAAACTCTCTGAACTCAATTTCTCCTGGCTGTTGGTGTTGGGACTGGGCCTGTTTGGATTAGCTGCATGGCCCATGGCAAGACTTTCATGACTAGAGTTTTACTTCACCGCAGATGTCAAACTAATTTTTTTCCTCTATTTAAAATGCAGTGGCCAGTGTTCAAAAAAGCCACCCTTGTCAAGTCAGGGTAGGGAGGAGTGGGAAGGGATGGAATGGGAACTCAGCCGTAATCCTGCTATTTGACAGCTCTGGAGAATCACATGGTGACCCAAAGTCTTGTTTTCCATGGTCCAGCACTAGAAAAGCCTGGCCTCACTACTGAGGGTTGTAACTTCCTAGCAACATGTGATCTGAGGACATTCTCAGGCCGGTGTCAGGGAACTGGGGTGCCATATGGCCGGAGGGTACTCAGGGGAAGCAAGGCAGCCCCTCTGGAAAGCTCAAAAGGATTGAGTCGGAAAGATCTGGGTTCAGATCAAAGCAGCAAATCAAAGCCACTCCCAGCTGTGTGAGCACAAACAACTCAAACCTTTCTGGAGCCAGGCACATCTGTAATGCCAACAATCAGTTAGCTGTGGCAGGAGAATGGTGAGTTTGAAACCAGCCTGGGCTACACAGTGAGATCCTGCCTCAAAACAAATACCTTTTTGCATCCCTGTTATCTCATCTTACACTGCAGAGATGTGTGACCCCCCCACCTTACATCCTTATTTGGGGCATTAAGAAGCAAGTCTAGGCCCACGTCTGACTCTCAGAAAAGTCTCAAGAAAAGAAGCTAACATGAAGTGGAGGTGTGCTAATGATCCCTAGGTATCGTCTAACCCAGGAGAGGTCTAGCTGTGAAAGTGGGGACTGCTTGGTAATTATACTGGGTCACCTGGAGAATGTTAGGAGCGGCCCAGGTATACTGGGACTTGTGTGACCACCCTGCCTTTGGCCCATCACCATTCAATAAAGAAATCAATTTTTTTGGTAATAATCCTATCTTACGATCTCACATCTCATACTTTTGAAAGTTCATTCAAATATCTTATGTGACTCTTTCATAAGTGACGTGGGAAAATATAGGACTGTATGACTTACCCCTTAAGGAAAAGCAAATGAAAGCAAGGAAAACGTATAGGCCTTCCCACAGTGGCCCATGTTGCAGGCAGTGGGGACACACATAAATCCATTCTACTTCCTGGCAGAAGTAGAGGGGTCATGTGAGTAATTCTGGGCCATGGACTGTGGATGTGGAAGGAATCTGGGTCCCTCTAGTCTAAGGCATTTAAGGATGGATATGAGTTCTCAACTCTGTTTTCACATACTACAACAAGCAGGAAACCAGGTTTGGAGATGTAGCTATTACAAGATGGAAGGGACTTTCAACTTCAAAACACCAATGTAGGGCAACCACACTGGCCCAGTCCAACTCTGAATGATTGAGAAATAAACCTCTGTTGTACTGAGCTCTGAGATTTGGCATGCACTTTTTAGCCTACTGTATTGTAGCCTTGTATTGTTCAGTCAAAGAGTAACATTTGAACTCACAACTCCAACATCTACCAGGGGTTCCATTTGACAGTATCATAAAATCCTATCAGATCGGGAAAAAAATCATTGCCAAGATGAAATGTTTTAGCTTACTCGTCATAAGCTTCAATGTTTAGTTGATTTAAAACAAAATATTTATTTGGTTTAAAATAAAATAGTTCATATCCAGTGCCAAGGAAAGAGAAAAAGTTCCAAAATGCAAGGTTCATTTTAATTTAATGCTGCTCTGTTGCAACATTTAGGTTAATCCAAAAAAGGTGGGTGCCTCATTTTAAAGACAAGAAAAATACTGCATATAGGTTGCCGAAATGAAGTTTCCTCAATGATGTTCCTAGATTTAACGGAAAGTTACAGGGTTAAATGGGAAAATTGTACTGAATGTGGAATGATTCACTCTCTCAATCTAGAAAATTTCCCCACCCCATTCCTCTTTTTCCTATTCTAATCCTATTCATACTTCAATTGTATTTTCTTATTGGGGGAAAAAGTCCCACACCTCAAATTTTGCAAATGCTTGTGTCACATAAGCATTGATGGGGTTGCCAAACTTCTGTAAAAGGCAATTTGGGAACTATTTTATGGTTTCTGTCATACCTATCCAGATCTTTCATCATACTCCAAAAACTGCCACTGTGCCTGGATGAGGTGGCTCAAACCTCTAATCCCAACTACTCAGGAACTAGAAATTGGGAGGAGGTCCAGTGGAGGCCAGCATAGGCAAAAAAGTAAGTGAGTCTCCATCTCAACCAATAAGCTAAATTGGTGGTATGTACCTGTCATCCCAGCTCTGTCATCCCAGTGAGGTATAAATGGGAGGATGGTAGTCCAGGCTGCCCAGGCAAAAAAGCAAGACCCTGTCTGAAACATAACTACAAACAAAAAGGGCTGGAGTGTGGCTCAAGGGGTAGCTGCTGCTTAGCAAGCACAAGGCTCTGAGTTCAAACCTCAACCCCCCCCAAAAAAAATGGCTGCCATTGATAATCCAGTGATGTTCCAATAAAACTTTACTTAGAGGCACTAAAATATGAATTCTATAGAATTCTTATGAGGCACAAGATTTTGGTATTCTTTTCATTTTTTTTTTTTTACAACATTTACAAATATAAAAACCCTTCTTAGCTTGTCTGCTGCGCATCGACAGGGAGTGAGTACGCTGTCCTTAGCTATAGGCAGAATGTAATTGGTGACCCCTGGCCTAGGCAAAGAAGAGGTGGTGACACTCTGTCAGCCAATCAGTGCAGCAAGACGGGAAGAGGACACAAATACTGTCCCTCTAGTTCTTCATTGTCCTGCTGGCTGGTGATCAGGGCTATGATTCCAGGTGGCCGGAGCCCTCAGTGAGCCAGGGTCTGGGCTCTTGGGCACCCCAGCAGGCTCAGGCAGGCAGTGTGGCCAGGGCACCTCTGACTAGAAGAGCAGAGCCTCAGCTGGCATCTTTAAGACCAGAGCAGCAAAAGTTACATTTGCCTGCTAAAGCAGACTGATAAAAAGCAACACTGGAAAAGAGGTGTAGGCAGGATTTGCTGACCATCCCCAAATTAATCAGGGACTGACTGTGGCCCTAGCTTTGGCTTTAACTTGAGCTTTCAGAACTTTCCAGAGACAATCTTCACATCAATTTACAAACTCATGCTCTAACCCTAGGCTTACTACCCTTCACAGCTCAGAGTGGCACATTGTAAAGGCCAAGTGCTGACTTCAAACAGATTCTGGTTCATCTGGGCCTTGTGAGGCCATGTGTGCCAGGCAGCGCTTGGAGGGGCAGGAGGCAGGCATGCAGGTAGACAGGCAGAGAGAGGGTGTGGACAGCCCAAAGAAGCAGAAAAGACCAATAAGGCAGCAGCCAAACCAGAGTTGGGCAACAGTGGCCATTATCCCCAGAAAGATAGTGTTTCCCTACATGGCTCTACTCCAGGATCCATCCTTAAGGCACCCAGGCCCTGAGGAGAGGGGTGTGTCTGGATCTGATTGGGACCAAGGATTAGGGTCCTCCAAACACTGTACTCAGGCAGCCAGGCCCTCACCTCTAGGCTCACAGAAGCTCATCTCTGCCTTCTCATTAAGGCACAGTCGTCACCCTCTTCTCTGCCTGGCCAAGTGATCTTCAGAGAAAAGTTGCCTGAAGCCCTTTCCTGGCCCATTAATTCTTTCCTAGTTATTTCAATCTCAGCTCTCCACATCTTTCAATTCCCTGAAGCAGAAGACTATAGCTAGTGCGCAGCACTGGCCTAAGCCCAGCTCTACCACTTCCCAATTCTTCTTCAGCAAGACTGGGCACTCCCTGAGGATAGGAACCAGCCTTGTACCTTTGTACTTTTTAACCCCCATCTGCCCCAAGAACACAAAACTGGTAATTGATACTGCTTACTGAATGCAACAAAAAGGTACAACATTAGAAAGATGAATACAATTAAACACAGCACTCTGGGAAAGAAGAGAATTTAAAGGTACTAGGGTAGATACTAGTTTCTATAGGAAAATTCCCAGCAATGTTCCAGTTGCTTTGTGTATCTAAGACACACACCAGAATTTTAAATACAGATGCAATTCAATGTTTTCAATCATCTTAATGCCTCAGTTGGATTGACCCCATCATTAATCTGATCAGCTGCATGAATTGATCATTAAGAAGATGGGGGAGGCTACCAATGGAAGGAGAAGCAATCAATTTGGCATTTGCATTTAAATGTAGCTTTGGCATTTCATTGACTCAGTGCGATCTACTAAGGTGTGGTAGCCAGGGAAGGGGCTGCTGGATGTGATTACCTGAGTCTGAACGGGTCCAGGAAACTGAGGTCAGCATTGCTCCTCACAGAAAGGACAAAGGTGCCTCCATAGTCATGAGACAATGCTTCTAGAGCCTGGAGGAGAGGACCAAAAGGAAGACAGGATTAGGGGCGAGAAGCCAACAGCCCTTGAAACCACAATGAGTGTCCCCTCTGGTCTGACCCTAGCAAATGACACATTTCAGTGGAAAAGTCAATTGCCACAATACCTCTTATTTCTTGGAAAGTTATTGAAGGATAGAGGAGTGTTTTGGAAAGTGTCATGTGGGACATAAAAGGACCCAGAAATTTGAAAATATATGTAGTAGAAATTGTGAGATTATTTTATTTTAGTACAACTGCCATAGAAACATTTGTTAGAACATTTTCTTTTACTAGAGCTGCTTCTGAGACACTTGTCTATCTAAAAGAAACACACCAGCCCACGAACAAGCATTCAAGGCCAGAATTCCACCTCATGGACCAGTCTTGATCCATTGGATAGACCAAGTTCACAGGCTGAAAGTCAATGACTCTGTTCTGTTGCAACGCAAAGTTACTCTGGTTCTGCAACTAACTCACTAAATGGGCTGCAAGTTACCAGGCCACTGTTAATGTCACCGTTAGTGACATTGCAAAACAGAAAAGTTGGAACATGAGACAATTGCGTAATTGTTTCTCATAAAAGACATTTTTTAGCCCAGGCCTCCAGGATTGCAAATCAATAAACTCTTAAGGAAAAGGATGCTATTAGCCTATGATGGTTAGTGTGCGCATCAGGAAACATATTCATTAGATCAGTGGTTCTCAAATGGTGGTCCCTAGAACTGCAGCATCGACACCACCCGAAAACTTGCTAGACATGCACATTACTGGCTCTGACCCCGTTCTACTCAAGCAGAATTATCTAGAAGGGGAACCCAGAAATCAGTGTTTCCACAAGCCCCCAAGTGATTCTCATTCGCCTCAGATCATTCACTTCTCCACACCTGTTGTAAAATAGTCTCCTACTTCAATTAAGCTCCAATTAAAGACAGAGCATTGAGCTAGGGGTTGAGGAAGGAGGAAGAGTCAGAGAGGGAAGACGATGCAATTTGACTAGATAAATGTATTGTCCACTAGGGAGGTCAGGACACAAAACAAGCCACTCAACACACAGTGTTATTTCTTCTACTGGTTAGAGGACTCCACAGGAGACATTTGTGTGTGATTGGGGTGAGGGATGATGGTAAGGGATGCTATCATTAAGACAATGACAGTAATCATGGGCCTTGGGATTGGTACCAGGTTGGGACAAGCAGGAACAGGCAACAGTTGAACTTGAGGTTTATTCAGAACACCGAGTAACCAGGTCTGGCTGATATGTGACTTGAAGTTGATCTGGGTCAGTCAAGGTCATTTCCAAATACACAGATGTGAAAGCTACAGGCTACAGCTTCTTTTACTGGTGTAAAGACTACCCAGCCTGCACTGAGGCTTAGTTTAAAAACTGATGTTTGATAAAATACATGACTTAAAGATTTCTCTACCCAGTTTACTTTTCTGTACTTTTTGCTCTGCATTTTCCAGAACGGAGACTCTTAGCTGCTTCAAGGATTCACAGGTGAAGGTCTGCCCAGGAGGAAGAACACAAAAGAAAAATTTAAAGTAGGCACAACAATCTAGATTTCACAGTAGCCCTGGGCCATTTTGCAAAGGGGCAAAATGTTACCACACCTAAAAGCCCCTGAGACAAATCTTGGTTTTAATTTTATCAAATAATTCAAGTTGATTGTGGTGTGCCTGAGTTTCACCTCCTCCCCACCGAAAAAGGAACTGAAACTAATATTCAATATCTCCAACTGGAGAAAAATCACTTTCGTGATCAAGAGCTATAGCTTTTGCTTCTAGAAAACTGACAAAACTATATATAGTGCTTTATTTCCTGTTGGGGGAACACGAATGATGGTTTACTGACAATGTTTTTGATGTTGCACCAAGACTCTGATCGAAATGAAGAATTAGCACTATCTGCTTGCTTATCCCAGCTCTGCCATTCAAACATCTGAGTGAATGTGGGCAAGGCACTAAATGCACTAAACCTGAGTTTCTTATCTGTCAAGAAACAGAGGCATCAACCTACCCCACTATCGCCGAAATTTAAATAAGAAAATTGACAGCCAGTCAATGGTTTATGTGTATAATCCCAGCCACTCAGGAGGCAGAGAATGGGAGAGTCAAGGTTCAAAGCCAACCTTTGGCAAAATGTTCAGGAGACCCCATCTCAACAATAAAAGCTGGGCATGATGGTGCATGCCTGTCATCCCAGCCACATGGGAAGCCTAAGTAGGAGGATCATGCAGGGGAGCCTGCGAAAAAATGCAAGATCTTATTCACGCCTATAATCCTAACTACTCAGGAGGCAGAGATCAGGAGGATCGTGGTTCAAAGCCAGTCCCAGGCAAATAGTGTACGAGACCCTATCTCAAAAAAACCTAACACAAAAAATGGATGGTGGGTGGCTCAAGTGGTAAGAGCACTTGTCTAGTGAGCATGAGGTCCTTGCTTATCCCAGCAAGGACCCCAGTGCTGCCAAAAAAAAAAAAATCTGAAGAAAAAGGGCTAGGAGCATGGCTCAAATAGTAGAGCACCTGCCTAGCATGCGCAAAGCCCCGAATTCAAACCCCAGTACCACCAAAAAAACAAACAACGAAAAAGAAAATTGATATGAAGCTCCATGAAAATTATAACATGCAATGCTGCATAGACATGTAGAATTACCCATATTGAGACCTTGAGCAGTAATTAACACTTGTTGTTATACTGGTCTTTGAAACTATAAACCTAACACATTCTTTATGCCCTTCAGACTCTCCTTGTCAATATTTGCAGATACAGCAGTTCTGAGGCACAAGCTTGGCACCAGGCAATCCATTCTCCCAAGAAGCATTTCAAGGTAAATTTTTTACGTGTAATTTTTTTCATTAAATTTTATTCCTCTGCCCACAATAGAGCAGCCAGTTATCTCCCAGCAGCTCCTGGTGAGCACAACTCCGTCTTCAGCACACCGACAAACACGGCAGCAATAATTTAGCATCTCTGCAGTGGTGTACCCCCAGACGGACTGTTTCCTATTCATTTCCATATGTAACTGGCACAGAGATTAATCAGGCCTCCAACTCAGAAACCTGGATGGCATGTTAGGCCCTCAACAGCCTAACTCTGGGCCAGAGGGAGCACACACTTACCTAGAAACCAAGAATTCCTCTGAAAAAGCCCGTCAGCGTCAGAAACGTGACTTCACGTGCATATGTACTCACTCACACTCTCAGACACTCACATATTCTCTCTTTGCCTCTCTCTGGTTCTCTCTCTCTTTCACACACACACTCTCTCTCATACACTTGCATCACACACACACAGACACACACACATCCTTTCCTGAGCCACCTCGCTCAGGAATTCTTCAGATCCTCATGAACTTCTCATGGGAGCGGTGTCACACATAACCGTGGGCAGAAGTGAGCCCAGAAACAAACAGAACGCCACCTCAGGCACAGTGGCAGCCTTGTGCCCCACCCCACTTGCAAGGTCGGGGTCTCGGATTTCTGAAACTGAAGAGACCTCTTTACCACGGCACTATGCCCAGCTGGCCTGCCTGAGCAGTGGCCAGGCCCTGGAAAGTATGTGCTTTCTTTTTTCCACTCTTTTTAAGGTCTGATCTTGACGGAACTCAGCAGCTGCCATGTCGTCAGCCAGGCGATGGCTCGATGAGGATTGTCAGCTTTGCTTTGGGCTCCCCTGAGCTCACTTCTCAGGCTGCTTTTGGCTTTAATTTTAACCCAATGATATCAGCCCTAGGCATTGCTGGATGATGGTGTTTGCAGAGGAAGGCAAGCCAACCAAAAGGTGTCCTATAAACCAGGAGCTGATGGGTGATACTTAAGTGGAACTCACAGCCACTGCTCCAAAGGACCGTGGAGAGACCCCGTCAGCTGGGTCTACACGTGTGGGACTCCAACCAACCATGCAGCTTTGGAAACTTACCAGTTCAGGTTAAAATTTCTCTCCTGAGCCAGCTGAGGTGGTGCACACCTATAATCCTGGTAAATGAGAGGCCCAGACAGAAGGACCAATAGTTCAAGGGTAGCAAGACCCTGTCTCAACAAAAACAACAACAAACTACATAGCTGGGTGTTGTGGCTCACGCCTATAACCCCAGCCATTTGGAAGGCAGAGGTCAGTGGGCCAAGGGTCGAGGCCAGCCAGGGAAAAACAATTGGCCAGAACCTATCTCAAAACCCAAGCTGGACACTGTGGACACTAGGTAGGAGGTGGAGGTAAGTGGCTCAAGGTTGAAGCAAGGCCTAGGCAAAATCATGAGCCCTTATCTAAAAATAACTGAACAAAAAGGGTCGGAGTTGTGGCTCTAGTGGTAGAACAGCTGCCTAGCAAACACAAGGCCCTAAGTTCAAACCCCAGTACCACTCCCTCCCCCCACCAAAAAAAATTCTCTCCTCTATAATATGAAGAGTTTAACTCCCTTGACAAAACAGTTTGAAGTACTATTCTAGGTATGGCAAAACCTACAAAGCACTAACCGTGGCCCTTTAATTCACTTTGAACTTAGTTAAGGAGATAAATAACTCATCTTACTATAATGACCTATGTGCTCTAGTGGCAGAACACGAAGGATGGAGATACCACCCCAAGAAGGATGAGAGGGGAGATCTATAAGGTTTTGTGGACAACTTGGAATTTAAGCCAGGCTTTGCAAAACAAGATGGTAGCAAAGACAAGTGGGCAGAGCAACAGCCAGAGAAAAGGTCCAGAAGACTCCAAGTGTGGCCAGGACACAGTATTTAGCACCCTACAACAGGGCAGGATGCCCAAGGCATTGCAGACGCAGTGAAAGGGAACCTGGGAAGGGACTGATGGTGGAAAATCCTGGACACCAGCCAATGGACTGGCTGCGCCCTGGGATCACTGAGAGCTCTAGGAGCCCCTGGACAGTGAGACTTCAAACTAGCTCTGCCTCAGGAAGTTTACCCTGGCAATTCTATCGCCAGTTATGACTGGTAATAACATCAACCCGTACCCTCATTTTTCTCTTATTT